CTTCTCTGTTTTTCTTCTTGCCTCCATTTTTCTATTTATCTCCTCCGTTCAACATCTTTATGTTCTTGCTTTCTGTTTTTTGAGGATTCTTCTTTCTTTTATGTACATTTCCAATTTTTTGTTCATTTGGTTTGTTTATTTCATTCTTTCTTCCTTTCCCGTTTTTGTTCAATTTCTTTCTTTCTTTCTTTCTTTTTCCTGTCCTTTCTCAATCTTCTTTTCTCAAATCTTCCTTTTTTACCCTTTTTCTTTCTTTCTTTCTTTCTTCCCAGTTTTTACTCAGTTTCTTTCTTTCATTCTTTCTTTCCTGTCCTTGTTCAGTCTTCTTCTCTCTTTCCCGTTTTTGATCAATTTCTTTCTTTCTTTCTTTCTTTCTTTCTTTTCTTTCTTTTTTTTTTGATCAAATTTCTTTTCTTTCTTTCTCCCTTTTGCTCAATTTCTTTCTTTCTTTTTTTCCCAGTTTTACTTAATTTCTTTCTTTCTTTCTTTCTTGTTTTTGTTCAATTTCTTTCTTTCTTTCTTTCAATTTCTTTCTTTTTTTGATCAATTTCTTTCTTTCTTTCCCGTTTTTGATCAATTTCTTTCTTTCTTTCTCTCTTTTGCTCAAATCTTTCTTTTTTTTTCCCCTTTTGCTTAATTTCTTTCGTTCTTTCTTTCTTCCCAGTTTTTACTCAGTTTCTTTCTTTCTTTCTTTTTTTTTTTTTCCGTTTTTGATCAATTTCTTTCTTTCTTTCCCGTTTTTGATCAATTTCTTTCTTTCTTTCTCTCTTTTGCTCAAATCTTTCTTTCTTTTCCCCTTTTGCTCAATTTTTTTCGTTCTTTCTTTCTTCCCAGTTTTTACTCAGTTTCTTTCTTTCTTTTTCTTTCTTTCTTTCTTTCCCGTTTTTGATCAATTTCTTTCTTTCTTTCCCGTTTTTGATCAATTTCTTTCTTTCTTTCTCTCTTTTGCTCAAATCTTTCTTTCTTTTCCCCTTTTGCTCAATTTCTTTCGTTCTTTCTTTCTTCCCAGTTTTTACTCAGTTTCTTTCTTTCTTTCTTTCTTTCTTTCTTTCCCGTTTTTGATCAATTTCTTTCTTTCTTTCCCGTTTTTGATCAATTTCTTTCTCTCTTTTGCTCAAATCTTTCTTTCTTTTCCCCTTTTGCTCAATTTCTTTCGTTCTTTCTTTCTTCCCAGTTTTTACTCAGTTTCTTTCTTTCTTTCTTTCATTCTTTCTTTCTTTTCTTGCATAAGTTCTTTGGTTCTTTTCCGTTTTTGCTCAATTTCTCCCTTTCTTTCTTATTTCTTTCTTCCTTGTTTCTGCTCAAATTCTTTGTTTCTTTTCCATTTTTTCTCAATTTCTTTCATTCTTTCCTTCTTTCCAGTTTTTACTTGATTTCTTTCTTTCTTTCTTTCTTTCTTTCTTTCTTTCTTTCACGTTTTTGCTCAAATTCTTTCTCTTTTTCCATTTTTTGTTCAAACTCTTTTTTCCTTCTCTCTCTCTCTCTATCTTTCTATCTTTTTGAAATACGGTATTTTCATTTATCCTTGTTTCATTATTAAGAGACGGCTTTACATCAACTACTCTGCTGCCTACAAGAAACTAATGTGCCTATAGAGGCACATAATTTCATATTTAATCAGCCACCGGAATAAAATGAAGGAAATCTGTCTGGAAATAATCAGTTAAACCAAAGTAAAAAAAGAAAAAAAGAGAATCGATTGTCAGATGACTTACTAAAAGATCTGTTAGTGGCACACGAAGACTGCAGATACTATACGGCTACGTATATTTGGGTTTTACGAAATTAATTATGTATTTCACTGCTATAAATAATGACGCTATCAACCAAGGTAGAGCTAACGTTGAATGGGAGAAAAGTGCATTTGCAATTAGCTTACCATCTTTTTTATGCAATGGTTTCATTTATCGGGCAATTCAGAATTCGATTATGATAAAATTGCAAGGAGGGGATTTGGTTTCCTCTTGAACCCATGCCCTATCTAAAACAGTGTTTGCTTAATGAATGTCAACTTTTCTTACCTGTGCCACATTGTCGCAAATGATGGGAAGAATGTTTTGCATGTGAAGAGAAAACCAACAATAGCGGGTATCACAAAATGAGAAAGAATTTCCAAAACAAGGACACCATCCGCAGAAGTTCATGTTTTGAGTCTCATGGAATATGAAAAGTGTTATCCATTACGATTCCCTGGAACCCGGAAGGACCATCAGCCAAATATCCGTGACCAAGGCGATCCTTCATGTTTGGACTACATCAACTGTGGAGAGGAATGAGATTCGTCACGTTTAATTGCTCAAGACACGCTATGCATGAATGAATACCTGTCCAGGTTTGAACCCAGATATAGGGAAAAAAAGGATCCGCATCTCAGAAGGGCTGAGACCACGCGACCACACCCGGGCATAAGAATGGTAAGAAAGTTGTGAGTAAATAAAACATGCATGCAAATTACAGCCGTTTAAGCAAACATCACAAAAAGAAACATTTAAATTTGGCAGACATATACGAGGCAGCGCTGAAATGTTCATAGGTTGACTATAAAAGAGTATGAAATCTTGTATGAAGAAATTTCAAATCTACTATCTATATATCTCATGTTGTCTGTCTGTGTGTCTGTCGTGGGCGTTGTTACCTCGCCCAGGCAGCATTTCTCACCCGATTTCGATGCGGTTTTCACCACAAGTTTGCAAATGGCTGCCTTAAGGACATGACGGAGCCCAATTTTTCAGTTCGGACTCAGGTTCCGAAAAAATCGATAATCGAAAAATTCTGCTTACAGAAGGAATTATTGCATTTCAACCAGATTTGACACCCTCTTAGAGTCTACCTTTAGAAGTGTTGTCCAGAAGTTTCATGACCACGGACCCCTAAACATCGCGGAAAATCGGTAAAACCCTAAAGCCGATACGCCCAGATTGCACCTGAACCGCATGTCGGTTTTTAGCGAAAACCGATCGGATTTATGAGGATGCCATTAGGAGTCACCATGTGAAGTTTCAACTCTGAGCGCCCCCCCCAACAGTGCAAATGGACAATCGGTCAAACCCATAAAATGTTTTTCCGGTTGGGTATTTTCTAATTGCAGATTAATTTAAGGTCACGCTATGCGCGGGAAGAAACAGGTTAGTGCGTGCAGTGCTGTATGAGTCGTACGTTTTTTGAATCAAGCACGGGCAACGCCGGGCCATGCTTCTAGTATTCTTATAAGTGTCTTGTTTATTTCCAGATAAACTGATATCTGACTGTCCAAAGAAGACTGGTCATCCTGTTGGTCAAAAAGTTATCGAAAGCAGATATGACGTCATTTCACTGTGGTACCCGTTTCCGGCCAAGTGCTTTTCCTGTTGGTGAACAGATGATAGTCAATAGATAGATAGGAGAACGGGCAGGGCGATGAATCAATTCAAAGCCTCAGTCACGCAAAACAGACATTGAAACCAAGGACTTGTGTGCAGAAACATTACACTGATCAAACAAAACCCATTCTGTCAGATTTCCTGTGTGTTGAGTCTCAGTAGACATTCGTATCTGTCTCAGCCAATTGAAATAGCGCTATACATTGATGCTGTGGCCATGTTGAAAATAATCAATAAACACAATGCTTCTTGCATCCTAAATCTCTCAGGCCATAATCTTCGCTGCAGTTGAAACAACTTTGGTTTTCCTTGGAGCACGTGAGGAGGGATGTGTTCATTGCATTGATTGTCTCTTTGGCTCTGGTTCAAAGGGATAAACCCAACACTTATCTTGGGTTATGAAACATTCAAGAAAACCAGTTGGATCTGCCTCAAAAAAAGTCAAACTTTCCAGTGTTGTTATTAGCTTGAATTATTTTTGATCTAATGTCAACAAACAGAATCAATCTAACTAATCTATATAGCTGTATATATATATATATATATATATATATATATATATATATATATATATATATATATATATATATATATATCATCAGACGATTCAGTTTTCTGAAGTCAACACACATCAGTAGACGTTTATTGTCATTAATTTGTCCTATTTTCACGTCCTCCATAGTAACAAATAAGTTTTAATCTCTAGAACACGCCATTAATTACAAAACATTCAGAAAGAAGGTTGAAATATATTTCAAACATTTTCTGGGGGAAAACTGCAATTTCATTAAACGTGTAATGGAAAATTTGCCACACCGTTGGATTGCACTTTTTGAAAATGAATATAATTATATTTTTTGACAGTATTTAAATAAATTCAACTGACATGTATTTACTTCTATATCATAACTTGCGAAACGTAATTACTTTCCGAACACAGTTATATATATATATATATATATATATATATATATATATATATATATATATATATGATATATAGATATATAGATATGGGCAGATTAAGAGAGATTGAGATCAATAGATAGATATATGATTTTAAAATAAAATAAAGACTAAAACATAATACAAAAAACAAATTAAATAACTAATATCAAGTTCAACACTATAAAAACGGTTAATTCCAGATTCCGACTTTCCATTCACTTTCGATATATATATATATATATATATATATATATATATATATATATATATATAGTTTAAGAAAAACTAGGTAATCCGTATGGGTAAACCTAAGGAGGATAAAATCCAGAGAGCTCAATGTAAATCCAGAGCAAATAAACCGTTTAAATGTGTCAATATCTGCTAACTCACTCGTCTTCTCTCCCACTCACTTTCTCACTTCGTTAATTTACATATGCTTAATACGGCCCGTCAAAAATGTGTAAATTTCCTTTTCATTTTTGTTTGGAAGTAAAGTCTAATGATCCGCAGTCCTTTAAAAGGGCTGTGGTGAAATAATTTATTACATGGAACTTTGAAGTGGTCTGTTTTATTTATATATATATATATATATATATATATATATATATATATATATATATATATATATATATTAATAATTAGGTGATTTGTATAATTTCTTAATATCTTTCAGCGGAATCTTCACAAGCAGAATAGCACCGGAAAGTCGTTTCTTCCTTATTTGTGAATCATCAGCAGGGCACATCCTCTATCGACTCTGTGAATCGAACCTGTACAGCACCGTTACGATTCAAGCATCATAGAGTTGGTCCAAAAGAGCAACGATGTCGAGAAGTAAACTAAGTTATTAGACATGATATAGCAAAGCAGATCCTTCATTGTAGTGACACTTCTCGAAGCATCCATGACTTAACAGGACTGGCACCTGAGAGTAATCACTTCCTTTGCCATCCACAGCAATAGAAGCTAGATCCAGAATAGGTTGTATTATAGATTAATAATTGAGGGGTCTGTATAATTCCATAATTTATCATGCCTAGAACCTAGAATCCTATTAGAGCGGTCTGTGTCGCACTTTCCGTTCTGTGTCAGACCATTTTAGTGACAATCTAGTGACAATCACAGGATTATGTATGCAGGCGGAGAGAAGGATCCGACTCGATACAAGATTAAGAAGAAATGGAGTAGAAGGATTCAATTTCTTCTCCCGTACTTTGGGTTCTCAGTGCATGCATTATTCTGATAGCTACGTGGATAGGCATTCCATTCATTTTGACTACCAGAATTCTTTCTGATATTTGGTAGTATTTCAGAACACATTTCTTGACTTCTAAACAAACAAATCCAAAACCTCACAAACTAATATTATTAAAGATTTTCATGATTTTCTTTGTTCCGATTTGCAAAATCGGCTTCAAACCTTTTCTTGTTACTTAATCCACTTTTCTTGCTTGTTAGCATTTCAATTATTCTCAATTCTCGTCGTTGGCAGAACTTATTTCCCGACATTTCCTTCTGTGTGAAATGAGTCCTATGGTGGATGCAAAGAATGGACACGAGGCCGAGTGGTTAGAACGTTCGCATGCTAACAATAAGACCCGGGTTCGAATCTCACCATAGTCGATTTGTCAGGAAGGAGACTTCCTGATGTTATCGAACTGGAGAAGTCGATCCCAGCGTGCGACACCTTTGGAAATTGCCTGAAAACCATACCGCGGGTTGACCCAAGTCTTAGGAGTGAAATTGGATAGACGGAACCCATGAGTGCCGTCGATAGCTGTGCAAGCACGAAGTAACAAGTCATCGTGACCGAGGGTTTGAGTGTGCTGGCCTTGTTCAGATTGTTGATCACGCTTAACACGCTCTCTCCCTGAAACTGTAACTAAGGTCTGCTCAGTATATTTGCAGTATAAACCACAGGTGGGCTCTGCGAGTGTTGAATAAACACAAATGCGCCTGAGCAAGCGTCTACAATAGGGATTGGCTTGTCACCCTAGTAGACAGGTATCCTCGAATACGAGTGGCCAGCTATACTACTGGATGTGGAGAGACGTCCACAGCCACCACATGATAGTGTAGAAAAATTTAAGGGATGGGGAGCTGTGTCTTTTATTTCGGCTTTCTTCATCTTCTAATCCTCTTCTGGTATTTTGGAAAGGATGTTGTTTTTGTAGACTGTTCTTTAATTGTGACGTA